ACACACTTCTTTTGAACAAAAATGATTGCCTAACAGATAAAAGATACGATAATATAATACACTTCGAATTCCATATTGGATTCCTAATTTGATATAGCTAGTATACAGTGGTCCAGTACTATATACCGGATGACATTTCGAGCAGAATTTGTTCCTTATATTCATATCAAAGTAATCATACAACTTTTATCCAGATATCTCCAATGTGTGATGAAGCATACCAGTTACATGTATTAAGTGTTGATTCAATGAACAATAATCGATCTCTCCTTCCACCTAGCTATATCGGATTTTAGAATTGTTACTTTAACCCACTCCATAGTGTGATTGTGAGCTAGTGAGTGCAAAGCGATAGCTAAGTTCCTTTTTAAATTGCTTATCTCACTAAGGTCAGTCAATCATTGTATGTTTTACTAAATTCTTGTGCTCAGCTATTCCGACTGGCCCAACTCGGCAGCTTTGACCTATATACTTGGCCTCACAATCATTACATGGTATTTGATAGATTAGGTTATTTTTCCTAATTGGCTCTACTAGACCTTTTAGCCTACAAGGTTTCGATCAGAACGAGTTTGCGGGTTGAAATACCACCCTAATCACAGTAATATCAAGAACTCTACGTGAAATTTCTGATGTGGTGATTGTGACAGGCCTCTATAATGTTGCCATACAAAGAAGGTACATTGGAAACTTTACGTAGAATTCTTGACAATGTTGCGATTATGGTGGTATTTGAACCCGTAAACTCGCTCAGAAAGAACCTTTGTAGGCTAAAAGGTCTAATAGAGCCAATTAAGCAGATAGCCTAATCTATCAAATACCATATAACGATTGCGAGGTCAAGCATATAAAGGTCAAAACGGTTGATCAAGGAAAGTCAGAATAGGAGAGCACAAGAATTTAGCGAAATATACAATGATGGATCCTACTAAGATTTAGAGAAAAACTTATCTATCGCTCTGCATGCATTAACCCATAATCACACTATAGAGTGGAATAGGGTAACAATTTTAAAATCCAATATAGCTAGATGGAGGGAAATATTAATCATAGAATCTTTATTCATTGAATCACCACCTAAGATATGTAACAGGAATGATACATCACATGTTGCAGATATCTGGAAAACTTCATTAGCATTAAGATAAAAGAATGAAGAACTGTTTGACTATATAAAGGTGAAGTTTGAAAGTTGTATGATTACTTTGATATGAGTGTGAGCAGTAAATTCTGCTCAAAATGCCATCCAGTGCTTTGTGACGTAAATAATCGAAAATGAAGTTATACTCTACCACAATATCCAAGTTTTACTCTTACACTAAAAATCGTGAAAGATGCAAATGGATCTAGTTTACAGCTTCGATAACTGGGAAATGCAGTGATTTTTACTTCTTTTTTTTTAAAACCAGTAAATTACAAAATGAAAATCATTTTAAAGATGTATTTCATTTAGCGTACAGATAAATTGCGATACATCCTTGTACATCAATTCAAGTTGCTACACTTCACAGCAGTTCAAAAAGGAAGCGTATAGAAAAAGAATAATGCTGAAGTCAACGAGAGTGAGTCAGAAGGCAGAATATAAACAAATGAAGGTTATTGAAAATGCTCAGAACTTCGATGATGACTAGGAATGCATGTATCAGTATCATTCTGACCGATTCTGAGCTATGTTGCCAAAAAGCATTAATCCCTATCGTCTCAAAGACTTCAGCCAACCAGCCTACATCTCTCTATATGGCATAGACCGACAGTCAGACACCTCAAAGATTGACACTGCGTCCTGGTCTGCTCAGTCTTTGTCCGACTTAGATTTCGTAACAAAGTCGGGAATTTTTGGTTAAGCTCTCCAACTTCTTCAACTGACTCACCCTTCTTGCCTAGTAACCTACAGCCAAGTTGAACATTACTCACATGGTATTTCTATCATACGCGAGTGAAAAGATATTGTAACTGTGTATCTAAGCTAATGTTCTATATCAACGCATAATAAGGAATTACTTGACAGCTCAGTCCCTTAGTATTCACTCCGTAGTAACTTCAAGGAAGTAAATCACTTGAAAAATCCAAACAATCTAAGCATCAGATAATAATTAACCCTAAAGATACAAACTTCATTGTCCAACATTTTCCCAGAATGTCATAGAAAAACTGTAAAGTTACACATAGATAAATAACTTGTTATAAAATGTCAATAATGATGAAATCTTTGTCTATGGCTTTTTATATAAATAAAATAAACAGAATATCAGTGACTAGAATATGGAATCGACACTTTTCTATCAGAGAAAAAATCAAACAAGAGCTTCATTATGTACAAACGACTTCAATTAACAAATAAAATCGATAAAAATATATCTCCGATTTAAATTCATGGAACCAAATTGACCGACAGACTGATAAAATCAATGTAAGACGTCGCACATAGGTGAATCCGCTCAAGTTGCCATACTTCACAGAAGTACACAAAAAACACTTGGATATAAAAGGAGTGATGCCAAAGTAGGTAATGTGAGTGAGTAAACAATCTGAAGATAAGGGTTAGTGTGAATATTCAGCTTTAGATGTCAGTGAGTGAATACATCTGCGTCAATGGGATCGATATCCAGCTATATCACCAAGTGTCCTCAACCACTGATACGTCTCGTCCCGGGGACTCGAACCAGGCAATCTACATCTTCCCATACGGTTCAGGTCAACAGTCAGAGACTTCATCGGCTGGTGCTTCATTTTCATCTGGTCACCCTTAACCCTTTTCCATCTTAATCTAACTTTCCCCAACACGGCACGTCAAGATAGGTGGTGGTTTAGCATACACAGTATATGTCCAAGTCATCTCAGTCAACTAAGGTTCACAACCTCGTCAATCGACTTGCCTGCCTTGCCTAGTATCCTCTCTCCCCCGACCTTAACACTGTTCACACGGTGATTCCACCAAACGCAAGGAGTGCTGCGAAGACCTATGTGACCAAAACCCTTCAACTGCTTCATGTTGTCGACTCTTAACCGCTCACTAAAATACATTCGCATCATACTCATAATACTCATATAAATCTAGTAAGTACTAATTAGTACACAGAATACCAGCCAAACTGTTAAGCATAGTAAAAATCATAACAAGAAATTAGGAAATACGAAAAAGAGTATTCAAGTTAATGGTATTATCAATAGTACCAGCTTATAAAAGGGTAGGAGAAAATCTGAAAATAGTTTTTGTCACTGCTTTAGACCGATTTTTCTCCCTTTCTTCATTTCTAGTCTTACTGCTTTGTTACCACTTGTTGCGCCGATATATGTGGCAACTTGCAGTAATCCCTCATCCTGTGTTGAGATTGATTGGTTAATTGCGTCATGAAGTGAAATAGGTTGGAAAACCACTGAAAACCTGAGGAAATATGAACGGATGTTTCACCCATATTTAGGACTCCTCAATAGTGCGCACCCTCGATTACGTGTGGGACCAAGTTTGGGATCACTAGGTCTCGTAACAGCCGAGTTACCACTGAATCATTAGGCTAGGATTCAGTGGTCTACTATTTCCTACTTATATTCATTCGCGACATAGTGGGAACACCACCTAATGTCATGTCTGTGGGTAACAGTTCTCACTCACCCAACTGTTTAATGATCTCATGTTGACAATGGTTCTACAGCCGAATTCGAACGGTGATAAAACAAATCAATTCCAATGGACCGTTGATTAAACTGCAAAAGAAGATTATTACGGATGGCGGAGTGTACAGACGGATGTAAGATAAAAAGATATTCGACATTAGCATTAAAATAAGTAATGTGAACATCCATTTCAATTTAATCTACTTTGAGCCTTAGTACCTTAAGCTCTTAATCACAGATTTCAACCGTCTCATAAACCTCAAGAAATAACCAGCATTTCTGAGTTTATTATTATTATTATTATTATTATTATCATTATCATTATTATTAGAACGCAAACAAGATACAGCAAGGGCACCACGAAATGCGCCACAAGAAAACAGTATAACATTATGAAGACAAATGATGAGAAGCGGATAAGAAAGAAAAACAATGAGGATAACATACTTAGAAGTGCAGTCCAGTAAGATACATTCAAAACAAAACATTCATTACTTTTCAGGAGCATAGGATAGAAGGAAGCTACACTATGACCACCACTGGTTTCGATTCTGAGTTATCCGCTTCTTCCATCCAGTCTCACCGGATAGGAGTAATCCTACGGAGACAACGATGATCGAATACACAGAGTAGTCGTATATCCTCAGATAGAACAGACTAGGTTTCACAGGCGTAGAGCAGAACTGTTCGCACCGAAGTGCTCTAAACCCGACCTTTTACGGTTAGACTAAAGTCGTGACGGACCCAAAGACGACCTAGATTGACGTACGCCACCCTGGCTTTCAATATGCGGTTATAAATCCCATCACTCACATCTAAACCAGCACCTACACAACTACCCAGATATACGAACTTTTCGACTGCTTCCAACAGCTCACCACCAATGGTGAGCTCAGGCATTTGTGAGTTACTGTATAAGGATTCTTCTACTTCAAATAAACGAGGATCAAAACCGGGATAAATTAACCCTTTTCTAAAACAAACACAGGATGGGCACATGCATTATTGCAGTCATGTTCCCCTACAGGGATAAAAGTAGTAGAGAAACGCCTACATGGTCAACACTAGTCACCAGTGGAAATGCACAAAAAGAATGACTAAGTATCTTCATGTTGAGTTAAATTTTATAATACAAGAAAGGTAGATGAAAGTGTAGTTGCATGTACCAAAATCGAAGCCTTAAGTATTTCATGCATCAATCACAAAAGAAATAGCTTTAGTCTGCTGGAAACTTGGTAACTAACAAGACTAGGTGAAAGAAAGCTGTAAGATATAATGAGAAATGCATTCACCGAAAAAATGACCGATCTACTACTTTACGACAATAATAATAATAATAAGGTGAAATACATCATTCACTCATATGAAAATATGCATGAACTAACCTAACTTGTGTTTCATAACTATTTCAGTCCGATCTATTTCACGTACATCGAATCCAGGATCCATGCGTAACTCTGAACTTGTTTTATCCCGTTTAGGTGCTGGATACAATAATGTACACGCCAAACCGTCTGAGTGCTTCTCGTGGTGATGGACAAGTTCAGAGACTGAGGCAAACTTGTTCGATTCAATAACAAAGTACTAAAGAATAATGTATGAAAAAATGGCAGAGAAAAACATAAACATTATTCAGAAGGAGAACGATCAGAAATATGGTTGGATATGTACATAGTCTTACAAAGGATATTGAATTTGAAATTAAGTAGTAATGATAGTAGTTTTCATCCACTCAACAACAACAAAAAACAGAATTTTCAATAACTGGATTAAACAAAAATCTTTGTACCAAATCAGAGTTTAGTAATGATCTATTACATCGGAGTGATAGGAAACGGTCTAAATCGAAATAATCATTCCAAGTCATCAGCCGCCAAGATAAAAGCTTTAAATTTCAACCTTGGTTTCATATTAGTGTACGAGTAGAAATGCCTTATTGAACAATTTTCCCCTTCAACCAACCAATGAAAATAAATATCCAACTTCGGACCTTGTGCCTTTATTTCCTGAAAAAAAAACTCCACACAAATGATGTTTTTTGTTAAATAAAGTCGTCTTCCTTACAGTCACAGACCGGTCTTTGTTTTCTAATTTTCGCGACTCAATGAAGTATCAGGTCTGAAGGAGAACAGTCACTATTTGTATCCGGCCCAAGTGTCTCATTGCGTTAATAGCGTTCTCGTATTTCGCATTATTCTGTCAGTCACTTCCATTCGGTTACTTCACAGGGCATTGTGTACCTAATCCATATTAAACATGTCAATGAAGATGTTGTGCATTGTGGAATGGGCTAATGTATTATAGGCAAATATTTCATGAAAAGTTTACACTCTACGATAAGTTTTTACTTTGGTTATATTTCGAGCACAATTACTGCCCATGATCATATCAACAGTTGGAATTTTTAGCAATATTAATTGTTGTCATTACGGGCAACAATTCTGCTCGAAATATTATTAAAATAAAAACTTATCATTGAGTGTAAACTTTTCATTAAAAAGTTTATTTATAGTACATTAAATCTAGACTACATTTTGTACAAACCCTACTAATTAAAACTACAAGTATAGTGCATTAAAAAGTGAATAAAAACTGAACTTACTAAATTGGAATCATCACGATGAATACGATAGTGCCATATTTGTCCTTCATAACGCAAACTTATAGTTAATTGACCAGGATGACTTTCTGATTCTCGGACAAGAAAACTGCCTGTAATTCCACTATTGAGTAAATACTCTGCATAACTGCGTTGAATAGCTCCATGATACCACTTTTCTGATTCCAATCCTACTCCAGCCAAACTGCCTTGACTACCATTACAGCTTACATCACGACTAATAGCTTGTTGGAAAGTGAGTGAACTACCAGAAGCTGATCCAGTATTTAAATTAGTACACTGGTCATTGGGATTAACAGGAATGCGACCCGTATAGTTTGTTGGTATCCAACCGCGATCATTAGTTCTTAGGCATTCAACATCAGCCCAATCACCATCTGCACTGTAACCAAATAAGTATAAGTGGTCACCTAGATAGATGTAAAACAAATAATGAAAAGCGGGAAAAATGAAGTAAATGCAGCATGAAATTTGAGTGAAACTTTGCATATCACCAACAAAACTTTTTTTAAATGACAAAAGTCCCATGTTAATTCACAACTGAATTTTTAGCATTTTATACCAAAGATAGGGAGATCCATTTCCCGATGGTTTTTCATACCCCTCGCTGATGAGTGCCAACAAGTACAAAACCTAAGTCCAGGGCCTCCTGACAACTAACTCCCACTATCTGAAGCTAAAAAGAGGGACATACTTCAGAAATGCATGTCTTTGACAAATGGTTAGAAAAAAAAACAGATTATAGTCATAGAAGCTGAATAGCCAAGTTGTGATTTCTCCTAGTCATAACGTTTGCTTATATTCAGTTAAACATTCCCCAAAACACAAACGAATTAATGATCAAAAGGACTGGTAATTTAACTATATAATATCCTGTATCGTACCGTAACATCTAACTCAATAAAACTACTACTTACATACAATGAATGGAACTCTGAATGATGCAGATAGAAATCATTTAGCTGAGTGTACACATTAATCAAGATTGAATTGAAAGTATGGTGCGAAATACGAAACGAAACGAACGAAACGCACTCAGCTACCTTGTACACAACCATGCAGTAGGCGGCAGTGAGTCACAACTATTGTGTGAGGGCTAGTGATGCCACCTGGCTGACCAAACCTCGGTAGGTGGGGCGGGGCCCGAACCCGTGACACAACGGTTGGTAGTCATCTTCCTAAAACAGTGACCCCCAGCTTCATGCTACAAAATGACAGCGAGAATTCAAGGTTTTGAAAACTTCAAGCACCATGACGTAACTTTTTGTTGTCCTCTGCTTACTTGCATCCTCATTAGCTGATGAAAGAGACATGTGATAATCCAAAAAACAAGCAAAAGAGTGAGCTGTTTATTTACTTTAGATGGAGCGGACTAAAATTGACTACATCACCTGAAGTACACGCCTACAGTTCATCGGGTCATCATAAAGTCATTTACATATAAACAATTAAGCAGCAAACTGTTGCGCCTCCTAAGGATTACAACTTCAGTAATTTCATAGTTACTGAAAATGGGACACGGTAGATAATCAACAACCAATAACTAATTCGTCCCAACTATACAGAACAACGGACTTGTTATATCTGACTGACGAGCATCAAAGAGCAAAAAACTTAATTCCGTGGCATTATTTCGACTGACAAAGAGATCTGACAGTATGAATTAAAGTCTAGCTGACCACCTGTTGTCAAAATTCCGTAAAGCATAAGCATTTGAGTAACCAGTATTCAGTTATAACACGAGATCTCTTTTAAAATACAAGTCATATTACACTGGCATAATCGTTTTTACCAGGGGAATTAGGGTTGAAAGACTAACCAATCAAAACAGCAGATTTTGCGAATCATCTCTAACCTGATCCGAGTCTCGAACACTGTACCTTTTCAGTTAGTTATCGACTATGGGGTATTAATTTCAATGATACATACTTTCTCATCCTTGTACTTATCAAGATATTGTTTTCTGTTCTGCCTTGTGATTTAGTTCAGTAGAGTTAGTAGCAGTTTTGTGATACAGTGGTAGTTTCATCAATATTCACGGTCAGAAAGTTTGTCCACAGAAGTGAAGCTTTAACAAACCCATAATATGTAATCTTGATGCAACTAAAATAACCGGTACATGTTTTTATACTCCAGAACATATATTTGCCCAGTTAGTTATCCAGGTCAAAGTAGTCAGAACAGGCTATAAACGATAACCAATTGTTTGAAAGCTGAGTTCTAAAACATTCAATGAGCCACACCTACAATTACGTGTGAAATTGACGGAGTACACAAAAGGATATTTGAAAAGAATTCCAGAGCTTCTTTAAATACAGTTTTAGGGTGAATTAAGTAAACATAGAATGGTCTAGGTAACTTACCCTTCTCGACTCGGATTTGTGACTGATTATCTATTGCGTTAGGTGGGAAAAAATCAAACAAAGCAACCAATATCTGGTCATTTAGTTGGTTTATCTGTGGTAGTTGCACTAAAGGAGAACCTTTGAAGTTTGTGCCCGGACCATGTTCTTGAAAGCAAGACGTAGCTGAAAACGAAAATTGATTAAGAAAATGTACATAGCTGTAAAAAAATATCGGTTTAAAACAAGTCGGTTTTTCACAAACGGACACAAAATCAACGGACCTCGTACAAGAGCGCATCAATCCAATTGCCATACTTCATAGTAGGATGCAAAGAACAAATGGAAAGAAAAAACTGACATCAAAGTAAACAAAGGTGTATGGGGGGGGAGTAAAACTTTTTAAATCAAGGTTACTGAAAATACTTAAGCCTTACAAGATGTAAAAGAGTGAATATATCTGCCCCATTGTGATTGATTTATAGCCATGCCACCGAGGGTTGCAAAGTATTGATTCCTATAACTTCCAGCACCCCGATGACGCAGCCTACACATATTCACATGGCTCAGGCCAACAGTCAGAGACCTCATAGACTGGTGTAACGTCTTGTACTGGTCACAATAAGCACTCTTTCAACCTAATCCAGCATGTGCTAGCTGTGCACGTTGAGGTAGGCGGTGGCTTGGCATGCGCAGTACATGTCCAAGTTATCTCAGTAGACAATGCTTACTATTGTACAGTACGGCATATTGAGTCATTCACTTCTGTGAGGAATTCTACGCTATTTTTAGTTATTCTAGTCAGCAGTAGACCAATTCAGGAGCATTATCTTACATTTGACAAGTGACACCGAGACGCATGCCGACCAAACATACTCAGATTTCTCCTCAATGCGTTCATCCACGTCTTCACCCTGAAGGACAATATTGCCTGCATACTACAAATCAGTCACATGACCTACAGGGAATAGGTTCACCTCTCTGAAGTCACACTTAACTACGCTCATCTCCATCAGCACGTCTATGACTAAGTCAAGTAGCAACAGTGAAGGTGTGTCCCTAGCAAACACCACTACTTGTCATCAATTCACATCGCAACCCCACATAGCCACTCTCACACGGCTACTCGAGTTCCAGTGGAGAATTGTGATTAGCATTACATACTTCATCATATACATACTACCTTCGCAGTCACACACTGACACAACACTTCACAGTCGACTGAATCAAATACCGCCTCCATGTCAACAAATATCCCACCTGTCAAACGTTGGCCGGCAGGCATGTCTGTGTTCCAGAACCCGTCAGAGGGTCGAAATCTCATCCATCAACCCTCGTACACGTCTACCTCAAACGTGACTGGTTTTTTCAAATTTGCTGTTCTCGAATTCCACCTAGACGTCGGATAACTATGGACCCTAGGATCTTCGACACAATCAATATCGGTCAAACTAATTCCCCTCTGGTTGTCACAAGATTTCTCCCCCTCCTCATACACTGGGATGATCAGTCAAGTACACCAATCTGACGCAACTACCTCTCATTCCCATACACTAACTAGTACTTTCGTCACTTTAATCACCATTTTTTTACCTCCATTCTTGAAAACTTCGAGTGGCAAATTGTCAGGTTCTGCTGTCTGATTGATATCATTTCAGGTTTCATTCAACTTTCTCAACCACAAGGAAAGTTGGAGGACCGACATCTAAGTTACATTTACGTCTAGGCTGGATATTGGGCAACTGCAGACTTGTCTAAAGCCAGTCGAGCTGTGTTTCAGTGTTCTGACCAACATTCTAGTCGCTTGTCCCGGGAAGCTATCAGTGTCCCATCCTTTTCGGTGATGGTTTCACTCCCTGTCTTCTTCTTTTTGATACTATCCTTAATAAACTCAAGTAGTTACCGAATGCTACCCTTCTCCATCTCTCTAGTTCTCACCAATCACCACTGCTCACGATCGATGCGAAAACCCATGGTCAACTTATGTTTGCGTTTCTCTTGCGCTCCATCGCGGTCACAGCCAGATGGAGTTAGTCATACGACATCAATCTTTTCGGATGACGTTGCAGAAATCAAATGACGTTTGCTAACATTCGGGTGTAGGTTACCAACTGTCTTTACCGCTCTTTCCACAGCAGATTTAATATCACAACAGGTTTTCTCACGATGAGCATTGCTATCACATTCAGACAAATGCTTAGCTAACTCCTCTCTAAATGCATACTTCGCGTTCCCATCTCCCAATCGAGTAGAGATAGGCCCCCACTGTCTCCTGTTTCCTCTGACCAGTAAAGGTGCAGACATACACGAACCTATAATAGCGCATGGTCGGAGTCCAAACTGGTACTCCAGAAAGAGCAGCAATCCTCCACCGATCCTCTTCAACGATGGCTTATAGCAATATGATGTATGTGTCCATCGTTGGTTTAATGTCGGCGGACGCCATGCCAAAAGTTAGAGCTCACCAGTAACATGTGGTTGTTCGAACAAAATTCCAACAAACGACCACCGTTGTAGATTCGTTGGCAACACATGCTGTAAATGCCACCCAGACGCCTTTCCGATTAGTTCGGCTCAGCTCAGCTTTTTTACTTAAAGGTTAAAGTCACCTACTATTATGATCACATCTGAACATTTTGCTTTATGTAACAAAAGTGACACCTAATGCTTGGTCTATTTTATGCATCAACCGAACTGTCGTCAGTGGGTGCGTAGGAGGAGATTATCAATAGGTATCGGTTGGTTTCAAGATCCTTCCCAGTTCTTACAGATCCATTCATCAGTCGAACAGCATATAGACGATTGTTTACTGGTGTACACACGAGAAGTGAACTTTCCGCTCTACAACTCAATTATGCGCCTACACCAGAGAGTTCATAACAGCTATCCACTGGGTCTCCAGATACTCCTAAAACGAATTTCGAAGATTCACTACTGAGACCAAGTGACATCAAGTGTATAACCACACTCGAATCCTGCATAGGTGTCTCACAGATAGCATAAATCCATGAGTAGAGATTCCATAGTTCTGGCGAGCGATGCTTGTTGTCCGATTTGGCGCAGAATTCAGATGTTGAAAGCTCCTACGCGAAATCTATGGCCAGGGTCTTAGGCGACTAAGAATGAGGTATCAATGCTTTTGGTCACTGCTAACGGTTACAGAGTGAGAAGCTGGGGAATGTGATGGAGGCTTAATATTAGTATCAGGAGGTGAAGGTAAAGGAAGAAACAAAGTTGAGGAGGATTGGTTATGTTCTAATGGGTCTTGTGTACTACTGTAAGTGTGGACCGTTGACACTTCGGTTTCCCACACCACGAAAGGCTAGTTGTTCTTAAGGTACCTGAAAAAGGAGGGATAGTGCGCAACCGCAGAGCGCAAGAGACGTCTTCTTTAAGCCTTTTGGCAGTTTGGAGATTTCGGTTTTTTGGTTTGAAATCCGACAATGAATACCCGTTGCGGGTATTGGCTCACCGCGAGGAGTGAGAGAGTGCTATTTTTTGTGCCAACTGTTTTTAATTCTCTCTTCCAATAGAAAAGATAGCATAAGCGTGTGGTACTGCTGATTGTCCAAGATAAACGTCCTAGTACTGCCGCACCCCCTCTTCAGTTAGCAGAACGACTTCGTCCTCTGACCCCCATCATACCACAGCAATTTATACTATAATGGCAACTGTTTTCTTCCAACTATTTAACAGACTTTTCTGGTATGGTGGGACCTCGAGGGAACAAGCGTTACACCAGTAGAGCTCGTTAGGTCATCGTGATTTAAAAGCCCGACAATCAGGTCAAGGTAGCAGCTATCGAACGGGACACAATGACCAAGCGTTTAGATCATAATTTGCCATCTTTGACACGAAGTTGTATGAACTATCACAGGCTATACGTTAATGTGGTGACCTACCACTTTGGTTCATGTCAACGCACCGACCACAGAGGCCTTGATTGGACAGTTTTCTACGAAAACATAAATATCAAGAGGTGACTTACCGAAAAACTGCCTAGCTATGATAAATATCGATGCGAATGGATGAACATTTTAAATATTTTCCAGGCCTTATGCAATTTTATCTTTACGCCATGTAGAAGTTCTGAATACTCCGTAGTTGATTTAAGGTTTGAATAGTGAGACTTATCAGCTTCCATATTGTTCCAACACTACTTTTTAGTGAAGAACTATCGTGAATAGTTCAATAGAATACTGCTAAGGATTATCACAACGCTTCAAAATAAAATATTTTGAGGACTGCAGCAAATTACTGGCACTCGTTCTTATATTCTACGGGAAAGTGGGACCAATGTTTATTGAGAAGCCTATTTTAGAGTCACTAGTGGCTTTCAGAACAGTACCTAGGAGTACGGCAAGCGTCACATAATTGTCGAGTCACTATCAGTGGTATCTGATGCCACTGAACTAGTCGAAATAGCAAGAAACTGAGAGGATTAGACTGTCAATCTGGTCTGAAAAAATGAACATGAATATTTAGGAGTCAAATATCACCTCATTAACCTAACCAATACTGTTGTTTAGTTGACAGCACTTTAAAAATAACTATGTGGATAGGCTTTCGGTTAAGGAACAGTATGGTATGAGAATTGGCCACTCATACTTGACCAACCGATGGACAGGAAAAGCATAGATGGGAATGCAAATGTTAATATAACGTTCATAATCTTTAGTAAAATCTTTGAGAGTTCCCGGTGTAAGACTCCGCTTAAACCTAAGTAGTCTTAGAAGCAGCAGCAAGATGATAAATTAGAATATGGACTTAATCATCAGTAGAAAGCATAAAATTAGGATTGACCGTGTTGCCACAGAAACTACTGAAGGGGTATACTTCAAGTTACAACACTAGGCAGCATACTCTCACTGCTTAGCACTAACGAAATGTGGTGATAAGTCTACTTGTCCTATGTTGTTTGCAAATCCTGTTAAACTTTACAGTTTGGTACGGTTAAGACGACACGTTGATAATACAGATTTGGAAGCACTAATGGGGTGATTCAGATAGTCACTGGAGATTAACGCTAAGAAATTATTTATGAGCATTGATTATTATGATCCATATGACCACTCAATTACTGATCAGCGTTTACGCAAGTTTTCCTAGCACAAAGATTTACAAACTATCATAAATTATGACCTCAAGACAGCTACAAAATGTAGGGTAGAGACCACTAAAGCTTTCCACCTCCCTTATTTTCTTTAGGTTTCCAAAGGTTGTGATAAAAATATTTCTCACGGATATATCCATGAGAAACCATGCTCTTTGAGTTATCTACTGATGAACGCAAACAGTTTGCGGACTATGTCTTTATAGTCGTATAATAATATTTTTCGAAAACTATTCTCAACAGCTTGTTAATTAGGACCGAAACAGCTAAACCGATGTTCTAAGTATGATCCACAAACCCTAGGTTTAGAGAGTACATAAATACATACATCTTAAGAAATGGTTGCACATTATCTTTTCCATTTCGCATTTCAAAACTGGTCATCTGAGAGGATATCACCAGCTCGACCTAATGTACAGGGAGGTGAACATGGCTGATATTAATTCATCAGCCTTTTCTGAGGACTTGACAGTGATTCCGGAAGACCCAATTGGAGATGCATGATATTCTTTCGAACATTTGCACCCTTGAGTCACTCAACCGTTCATTCCGTTGACTGTCCCGACTTTACGAAAACACATGCAGGGATAAATTGCGAAACCTGTAATCTACTAATACGGAAGAAATGGTTTTGGAGTTTTGTCACTAACCTCGATACTCCCGAGGTGAAGAAGCAGTGTAATATAGCCCAAAATGTATGAATCACAGCAATTCACCAGTCCTGAATACAATTCAAAACCCATCTTGCTCAGGTTGAAGTAGAACGCTCAAAAAGGCTTTTGTATATGAACTACAGGGGGAAATGCACTACAACGCGCATACCCTAATTGAAGATACAGGAACTGCCCAGTTAAGTGGAAAAGATGAGGATGAAAGAGATGCTATGGTGAGATACTTTGGTGGTGTTTCAGCCCAGAGACCTCCAACGCATACAATCTCTATACAAATAAAGTCTGCAGACCGATTGTAATAACACATTTAAGACAGTAAGTACTGTGCATATGCGAAAATAAACAGTACAGGATGATTATAGCTAGACTCATGACTGCTCAAAGAGCTTGCACTCTACATAACTCACCTATTGATAATATTTCAACTGTCCCCTAATTACGGTATACTCCTGAATTGGAAGGATGTTATCATCAAAATTAATGACACCGCAGGCTTTGGGCAGCAAACATAAGCTACAGATCGGTAAGTCTGATGAATAATCAAGAAAGCATTACGATTCACCTATAAACTAACACCATATTCTCAAGTTTAAAACGCGATTTTCGAAAAAGTTTATCATGATTCACAAACCTAACAATAAGAGAAAGTTGAGTAAAGCCTAAAGAATTCAGGGAAGCGTTTGACAAGGTATCTCACTCCAGGTTGCTCATCAAACTGGTAAGTTCTGAAATAACTGAAAACATAGTTATATATATCAGAATTCCTAGTGAGCGAGATACGAAGTGCGAGGACTAATATTCGGCAAGTATGTACACGATGGAGTGCTGCAAGGTAGTCTAGAGTTCCTTTCGATGTCTCCTATTTACAGATGAACTACCTACTATCACGAAATCTCCCATGGTTCGCTCCACTGGCAAAAGTTAAGGAGTGACGAAGATGTGCGCCCACTTAAAACAGACCTTTACAGTTTTCAACCTGTTAAAAGAAATGGTTGATGTCTAACAGTGAATACTAATGTGTAACCATGCCCGAACGGTAACGAATACCATACTTAAAGAGTTTTTCTATCCCTAACACTGAATCCCAACTACCTAGAAGTCATAGTACGTAGTGGATAAAAAAGCATAACGCACTGTTGACCAGTTAGCTGTTTCAGGATTAAAGACAATACATAAACCTCTTATTAAGAATAGCGATGATATGTTCACCGTCTTATATGAAGCTTTGGTTGGATTCAAACTAGAGAAGTGTGTACAACTGATGCATCCTGAAGGAATTCAAAGACCGACCACTTCTACAATCCCTGCGATGAGTAGTCTGGCCTATGGTATACGATCTCAGGAGCCAAGGCTCTTCTCTTAATCGTATCCCTCACCGAGATCTAATCCTGATACACACCATTTCAAATGACTGAACCTGACCCCTTTTCATTCACACTAGGACAAGACACCTCAGAGGAAATAAAAGGGCGCGAAAGCCAAGAACACTACATCGGAGCATAGAACTGGTTTTCATAACGAGCAATCCATTCTTGGGACTGACTTCCAGAAGAACTGTCTATGTTGCCAACTGGCTAATTCAAAACAGGATTGGAAAGAACATATATGTATTAGAAAACGACTATACAGGTTCACAGCATCTCATCTTTAAACCCCAAATCTGAGTCTGAATTTTCGAAGGCTACCGTCGCATTATCTGCAACTGCAAGTCACTTTCTTGCATTGCGATAAAAATCGACGTGGCACTACTATATTCAAAAACTCGTAATCCACCGTCAGTTTACAAGGTAGATTGGGTCTTAAGAGTGAGATTTAGAGGCTTCTTGACATGTCATTTTTTATGAAAACATACCTTGTAGTTAGAAAGGAGACATGATGACGTGATCCCCCCCCCCCAGTAAGAAGCAACACACCAAGATATTTACTGCTGGAAATGTTCTACAATTGTAGGCGGTCAAGCTACCAAATCAAAACGATTTAGATAAGTTGAGTGGTATGAAGCACTTGTTCACGGTATTAGAATCGTAAGCTGACTTGAGGAAGCAGCGGATTCAAACAGAACACACACTAGTGTATGACGCTCGGAACATAGCATGTTTGCATGCATCTATAATTGTCTGGAATTTGTTTCTCAATAAGTAGCACAAACGTCCCCCTAATTGCCTGAAGGATATAAAATATCTCTTCATCCAAAACGTAACCCGAACTTAGGACAGATGTGTTGTTCAAATAGCAGATATGAAATGTGATTCGTCAAATCACTATACATTTTTTCTGAATAGTAAAAGCTAAATTGTCGACATATATGCCTACAGGGACATATGTTACTATGCTTACCTATATGTGCCGTTTGATGTGAATTACAGAAGCACAAAACATCCTCTAAAAATGTCGTAAAACAGTGCTAAACTTTATAGAAATTCAATGAAACCACTGCGTACAAAACTTCAATAGCAAAGATCGAGTAATTTTTGTATTAACAACTATAAAAACGTTTACATGAGTGTTATGTAACCAGGAAAAGCTATTCACACCCTAGCCACGATATACTTGGAAAAATGGCAACCTGCAAGTATTTATCTGCAACTCACTGTCAGACTTTAGATGATTTGCACGTCTAGGACGCTCCTTCGTCTGCTGCGCGCCCATAATCCAAAATCCGGGGTGATTCACATAACGCGGATTCAATTATACCATCTGTTTAGTGGCTTAAAACAATACATAAGGCAGTAATAGTTTTCTACTTTTGAAGACAGGCATATATGGTAGATTTGTCATAGTATGAACCCATCTTTTATTTTTCTGGGAAATAAGCATATGAAAGAAACTGCAGAACCAGTGAAACAATCCGACAGTTACATTATACGTACCTGTCATTAAATGAAACTGAAAGTATTTTCGCCGGCCAAGTATCCTAAGTAAAATGAAACCGTCCTCAGCATGTGTCCTCGAAGGTCTGTGAACACCGCCGGATGCTGTTGTTGCGGGCAGTTTTATTATTGGGACAAACAGCATTCAGGTTATTCAAAATTCATGACCTCTATTATATTTCATGATCGTCTCAACGTCCAAATTACATTCCAGTATCCATTGTCCGATATTGATAGTGCGAGCGTAGAAAAACTGATAGTTTCTGATCGCCTGCGTCTAGTTCTTAGGGCTTGGTTAGAGTTGTTCGGTTCACTCCTGCAGTGGACGAGGAAATCTCCTCTGCTTTCTGCCTTTTAGCCTCGGTGAGGTGGATGTTTTTGTGGGTTAGTAAGTTGCGATTTGTAGAGTGATCGGAGAGCTACGGGTTGCTGGGACGGTTAGGGGACTGTCGTGGCTCCTATGTCTGTAGGTACCTGAAAGAAAGTAGTAAGGTGGTGGTAAAAAACGAAAAGAGTGAAGAAAAGAAAAGAAAATGAGGGAGGAGAAAAAGGAAAAGAAAGAAAAAGGAGAAGGAAGAGGGGAAATAAAAAAGAGAAAAAAGTATGTGGAAATTTCTTGAATGGTAGAAACAGATAGCGTGGGTTCAGTTCCCACGGAAGAACTGGTAAGTAATGTGGGTATATTAGAGAGCGGGATAGTGAGTGGTACGAAGGAGGGAGGTGGGGGCGGGGGTGGGCTAGTGGGGTTGGTGACTGCCTGAGTGCGTCCGTGGTGGACCATGCAAGATGGCACAACTATCTAACCGTGTCTTGAATGAGTCGACTGAGGGAGTTATAACGATATGTCGTAGTAAGGCATTCCGTACAGCACATACTCTCAAGGAGAAAAAATAGGACCTGAGTATGGTGCTGACTCTCTGGCCGGCTATCTTGATGCGGTCTCCTCGTGAAGACCACTGAGTTGCAGGCAAAGTTGAATTGTTTGGGTGGTCTGCCTGATGGGCGATCTTTTATTCTATAATAAGGTTGTTGACGAGATGTGTACCTGTCATAGCCACCATGTTTCGCAAAGTCAAAAGTCGCCAAGTTTTGAAGTGTATCGCGCAAAGTCTACCAAAAATTCTCTTCGAAGACAATTGAATTTTCTGAAAATTGTAAATACTGTGCTTCATTAGGTCTAATAAACCACCAATTTGCCTTCGATGAGACTCTTTAGCACAAGTGGAGAGAGATTTTCCACCATCAGGAGATATCATATTGAAGTGAAGCATGTGTATGACACCTGAGAGTGGTTTTAGGAACAACTGCAAGTTTGGCATTGGTTATACCTGACATGGAGAATCTTCTGGAGACACACACCTAATACATTCCTTCAAACGCAAATAGTCAGTATCCGTACGCCTCCTAAACTCATACGTCTACCACTGTATCACAGTCTAATTTTTGACCGGAAAAGCAGTATTATGCATTTAGCACAAACACAGCTGTATATCTTTCGCTATGTGGCATGTCCAAACTGAACGCGTGTAAGACACACGTTCCACGGCTGCTTATGCAGCTTTCATACCTGTGCGGGCTTTATCTGGCACTGTCAACATCCTCCTTTGGTACTTCCTCCTGATTTCTAATTTCCCCTGATGCTTGTCTTCATTTATTTTCGAACCAGCGACCGCCGGGTCACCAGCTGAGCTACGAGGTTCGCCTGCCGATCAGATTCTTGTTTCACTTCAATCATCAAGGGTTTTGCCCAACTACCTTGTAAGTTCATGACGCGGTACTACCACTTAATCGTATTCACTCTGGTTGCCTAGTCAGGACTTCGCATCCGAATGGAAATGCGACTAAATTAGAGGCAGGGAGTATCATATTGATTATCATCTGACAATCTGAGATAGCTGTAGTTTGGTAGACTAGTATTTATACTTCGCACAAAACTCCATCCCGGTATTCCAGTAAGTACAGAACACAACTGCGGTTAAAGACCACACTATGTACATGGTGATGGTCGTTGTGGATGTTTCGTCCCGAGGTTTGGTGACATCGACAGCATCTTCTTCATGAAGCTGATGCTAAAAGTTCGTCAACCAGGACAGTGAAATGCCCGCGACACCTAACCACGGTCAGCGTCATCCCGAGCTGACAAATATTTTTGGTTATATCAACCACTATCAAACTACTGACCAGTTGATCCGATATTCAAGAGACTTGTGATTTACCATTGTCTACATGGCAATATACCTTGACTACTACGGAAATTGAGTGCTACCGACTACAACTGATAGGATATTACTCGGTAAAACCAAATCACGGGGCTACTCTCAGAGGTGAAATTCCTCCGGATTTGGGAAAATGGTATGAACTTACTTATTTTGAAGGACAATTACATATGCCAACGCAATCTTCTGAATAGGCTTCTATCCACCGTATATCCTATACTTTCCTGCCTTTGTTTGGAATCTTTCCTATGGATTATTCATGCGCTTTTTATCTCAAAGCGCTAAGTCCCATCCCGTCCCCTTTATTTCACCAACATCACAATGCACTCTTTCCAGATTTCCGCCATTCATGAAAGCCTCCATACTTGTAGGTAAACTGTCAGACCGGTCTGGTGACGTGGATCTAAGCAACTATTAACGATAAGGATCAATGTATTTGCGCCTTATTTGCAGTTCTGGAAATAGGTGTAGTGTGAAATGAAATTAAGGGCCTGACGATGGGACGTTCTGAACTCACTTCACCCTATTTGGCGCTGCCTTCCTTTCAACCCCCACAATACCTTTCCTAACATTTATATATCTGACCCTTCCGACAGCTTAATGTTCACATCTGCCTTCTTTTCTACCCAGGCTAACTTCCAAAACTGAAACCAACTGACTTACTCATGAAACTAATGGGCCCTCTAGAGTCCGTTTGAAACACCTTGTGCAGTTAACTCGTTGCTTTCCCGACATGATATCAAAAGTGCCTGAATGGCGAATGAACTGTACGACACTAACACTTAGATCCATCTTTACCTTGGGTGGGACTCAAACAAATCTTGTTTGAGAAATTTCAAACACGTGAAGGACACTAATAACCATTTCTCTGTGTTTACCTAAAGCTGATCTAAGATCATACAATAAGAATAAATATTTCACGGTGCTTACAAATTTCGTTTCTGCAAACATCCGGTACACTTTATGACCTTATAAGCCGAGTGGTTTCCGCTCACACCACTTGTGGGATGTGACGAATTTATTGAAAGGCAGAGCATTGTCGACCAATGCTTACTTTTATACTTGTAAGTCATGCTACCCAGAAAAACCGACTGTTATCCTTTTTAACCGACATCGATAATAGTGATAACAATATTTATCCCTGAATATACGGGCACATACCATTTTAACAGGTGTGAATAAGTCTCTCAGAGATCACATGTCTTCATGGAAGGTAATCTCAGTCCCCACCTATTGTCACTAGAAGATATAAGTACTGCATGTTCATGTAATGAAACATCCCAACAGAATAAGTATGCAGAAAATTTATAAGTTGAAAAAGTGGAAGTATTGCCTTCAAATTAACAAAAACCCAGGTTTCTATCTCGACACCACATGTATTGCCTGGAGAAAAATAAAGCTTGAAGCTAATACTTCCATTGTAACATTCTGTGCTTTTTGCTTGAGATAATGATGGAAAGTTTATGAGGGAATGTATGCGCAAATTGTTTACTTATTGTACTTCATTGATGATTCCAGTACTGTATAATTCACGCATGTTGATACTATTCCACATCGGAGGTTCATAATCTTGATGAATATTATGACTGAGTGCCAAATATCTTCGCTTTTCTAATTCCGGCATCCAGAAGCAGCAAACTTGTCTGAATGCGCCGACTGGACTTCCAGGACATTATGTGTGCCGTTTACACTGGTAGTGACAGCCTTGTGGTCAGTGAGTGTTGGACTTTCCTGGTCACTTTTATGATGAGTAAGTCCTAAATTTAGATAATTATGAAGTTGTAGTCCAGAGCGCACTTTTTTATTTCTGTTCGTTGTAGTTAGGCATTTTGAAGGTGGTAAAGCTGGTTACCCTCCATAGAGAGTAGTTTCAGCGAAGGTACGCTCCATGAATAATTGATTCTCAAAGACAACCAAGCCAACATTTAGGACCGAATCGCTTCTCCAAGGCGAGAAAAAACAGGGAAAAGGTGGCAGGCACGGAAAGAAGCAAGAATTCCAACAAGGAATGCGTTTCTTATGCTCATGTTTCTCCCTACTTAACTTTCTTTGAACGACGTTCATTATGCGGTTTCTCTGTTGAACACTTAAGAATATAAACTTCATGCTGCCGTGCAGTGTAGAACTTCCGTTTTTGGTTGCTTCAGCTTCCGCACACTGGACGGACTGCAAACAACCTGTTTCATAGATTCTGGCCATTCATCAATTGCAACACGGATAGCAACTAAGTAAATGGTTATGACTGGCTCCGAAGAAGGGTGGCCTCACGTGTCGTCAGACCACGCATATCATGAAGCCGACAACAGCCTAGTGGGATACAGTTTCTGCTCAAATGTTGTTACTGAAAAACCGCAGTTATTGAGGTGTTCTTTAGAAAGTCTAAACCAGGACGACAAAAATTCAAGCAAACGTAGTGTATCTTTATGGTATCAAAGTGCAACTAGAGCCAGAATGACCACATTAAACTGGATTGACTAAATACAAACTAAGCAAGCATCTAGATCACCCTCAGGCGCTTAAAGCAATTTTGGCTTTGTTTTAGCGAGTGCGTATCACAGCAGGC